TTGAACTGCGGTATTTGATACGTATGATGGACGATCCTCGCAGTAGATAGCGCTATTTGAGCAATAGCGAAATTCAGACCTGAAAAAAATCAGGCCTGTACAGGCCTGATTTTTTTCAGGTCTGAATTTCGCTATTGCTCAAATAGCGCTATCTACTGCGAGGATCGTCCATCATACGTATCAAATACCGCAGTTCAAAATATATGATTTTCATATATTTATTCTATCTCATTTATCACTTTCACGGGTTCATTACGAATCAACTTAACGGCCTGCTCTCAGTTGGCTTGTTAGCTCAATTGGTTAGAGCGCTGCACTAGTATCGCAGAGGTCAGTGGTTCGAGTCCCGTACAGGCCTGATTTTTTTCAGGTCTGAATTTCGCTATTGCTCAAATAGCGCTATCTACTGCGAGGATCGTCCATCATACGTATCAAATACCGCAGTTCAAAATATATGATTTTCATATATTTATTCTATCTGAATTAGTTCTGTTGTTATATTTGTGGAACACTTGATCAAATTGGGCCTACTTCGGAGAAATCCACCCTAACTGTAGTCGCTTTCTGTCTGACGAGTGTAAAATCGAATTCAAGCCCAACGGCGTAATGAGTATTGTGAACGAGAAAGCGTCCACACTTCACCTTTTCTCATTCAGTTATTTTGCTTCCCTCTGTAATCTTTTTGCTCGGTCTTTGAACCACCCTCTCTAGATTTTTCCAAAACTGGGACGCGTTTTTGGACAGGCCCTTGTAGTCACGCATTTGCTTGAGATTGATCTTGGTTAGGCAGTAAGACAATGTTGTTTGCTGTTCACGCAGTCGTAGTCCCAGGACCACCCTTTCTGGTCACGCACCCATCCTCTTCACGGAGTCACCTGCGTTGCTTGATCCATTCAATTTAGACTATTGTGTTATAATTTCTCTCCTAGGGGCGGGTGAAATGTACTATTATGTCGTCTTTAACGGATTCCACGTGACGGAACAAAAAGATCACATCTTATTCCAAAAATGATAAGGCAAGTGATTCAGTTAAATTTTAAGAATTTCTCTTGGTTGTAGCTGTCAACCAATCTTCGTCTTTTATCGCTAATTTACGTCTTGATATCATGTTAACGTAGAAACCAACAGGCTGAGCGATCAGGCTTGATATGAATTGATTGTCTCCTGACAAAGAATCAATGAAAACTCATCTCAGCTGAAAATGGAATAAAGTATTGATAACTGTCACATATGTGATAGTTCCTTTTTTTACATGATAGTTGCAACATAAGAGCAAGTGGATTTCATTGTCTCGAGTGTATCGCCATTCGAGTGAAAACAACAAACACGTCACCGTAGCTGTTTGCGCTTCAGTTTAGTTTAGTTCTCTCACAACGGATAGGATTTTTTCTCGATAAAATAACCCAAGTATTTCTGTCCCTCAAGATTTTCTCTCACAGTTAAACTCGTGGATTTTACTGTTTAGAGTATATTACAGATCGAGTGAAAATAACTTTTTTTATGAGATTAAAGATGATAATGAAAGAGAATACATCCATTCCTTTGATAATGACCTGGGTAATTATTCTGATACAAGCTCAACGAATATTTTTTTAAAGGGATATTTTCGGCGATCACTTTAGCCGCTTTGTCGCTTTCTATTCTTTTCTTCAGAAACTGCGTGTTCTGGCAAAGAGGCTCGCGGAAAATCTTAATCTCAACTATTTTGATGTGAAAGCCAGCTGAAGGGACCGTATCTTTTTTTGTCATCACGTGAATTTTTGATGATTTTGTGATGATGTTCTCAAAGCAAATGATATTGATAGAGGAAATATCACTGCAGTGACATACACAACAACCTTGACAACCTTAGGGGAAGTAATCACTTAACTCTGACATCCTTATGTTTCCTTTCTTATAATCCTTAACACAGCCTTAACTTATGGCAGATGTCATTCGACACCGTCCTGTGGTTGATGACCCAAGTGCTAATAACAGCAGATTCAATGTTGGCTACCCTGTGTAATCCACCTTAAATCATGACATTCTGATCTCATCTCCTGATTGATTTAAATCTGATAAATTACTCAATCTAATTTTAACAAAACGTTCAACTTTCTTTTGATGTGTAATTTCAAGGAAGTACCATATTCTTTTGGTAAACTAAGCAAATTGAAATAAAGCAAGATTATTTCTTCTTGACAAACAACGTGTAAAACGATGGTATGGAAAGAATAAGCAAGAGGGAAAAAGTTTTGAATTTCCAACGGGGAATCCAACCCCAAACCTCTAGATTTCGCGCTCTAATGCTCTCCGAGTGAGCCATAGAGATCCTTTAGTGAACCGGACAATTACATGGTTTCTTCTGCAACACGTGTCCTGCGAACCGCAAGGATCAGCAATGTAGATTGCGTCATGTGTGCAAATAAAGATAAGAAAAGGGGTTGAGTTTGACCTTGGGAGTAAGGGAGAAAAAGATGTTTCTCGAAAGATTTATTTGTCTAATATGGATCAGAATCTAACTTGAAAGCTTGTGGCCGTTCTTGTTTTACATGAGCCCCTTTGGTATCAGCAGTTACTGATTAGGGTGTGAGAAAGTTATTCAGTTCGATTTTCACGCTTTCACTCCCAAGCTTGACCAGAAAGGAATTTCTCCCGACATTTACCATTTTTAACCAAATGGGTAATAAGAAGAAAGAATAATATGGGCTGAGGATTTATGGATTGAAAACCAAATTCTCAAATCTGAAGTGTCCATGAAAATATAGTTCTAACTCAACATATCACTACGAGGATTTTGGTTTGCTTGTTTCGAGGAAACGGGAAGCTGATTGTTCTATAAACTCGTGTCATCTATAGAAATTGATTCCTATAGTTATGAGATTTGATAGG